GCGGCCAGGACGCCTGCCCAGAGCTGCTGGCACGTCCCTCCAGGCCTGCTGCTGGCAAGCCCTGTGACGCTGGGTGTCCTTGGGGCTCCCTGGCTGTCCCGGCACCTCTGCCGCCCCAGGTGCAGGGGTGCAGCCCCTCTGCCAGCCCAGGGCGCCAGGCCCAGTGTGGGCCCTGAGGTGAGGACGCCGTGTCCCTGCAGGGAGCAGCTGGCCCTGCGGGAGATGGCGGAGGAGGACCTGGCGTTCGCCAGCTACGTCAGGATGCTGCAGTATGTCCGAGCTTGGCTGGGCAGCCGGGGAAGTGCTCCTGCCTGGGGTGTGGGGGTGCCATTGCTGTGCGTATGGCCCTCCCCGGGGTTGGTCCTCTGCTGCCCACGGGCCTCAGGCTGCTCCATCCCGCCAGGACGATGAACAGGACCCTCTGTGAGAGCAACGTCAGCCTGCGCTCAGCCCTGCTGCGCAGCTCACATGCGGACCCGCGAGTGGTGAGCCCTGCAGCAGCTGCGGAGCGCGGGGCTGGCACCGGTGCAGGAGGGGAGGGCCATGTCCAGCACCCCCCTGGGCAGGGGGTGAAGGGACACTGGGCGCTGGCCACCCCCGCGGGGTGCAGGGGCAAGCTGGCTCCGCTGCCTTCACCTGCCCTGCCTGCAACCCTGCCTCGGGGGGACACAGTACACGGGCAGCTGCCAGGACTCTGGGACCTGCAGGAGCCCCTGGCGCTGGAAGCCACAGAGCCCCCCTTCTACGGGTTCTGCCTCACCTCCACACACGGTGCCTCCATGCTGAACACCTTCTCCCCTGCAGCCATGCCCCGCTACGCGGTCACGCAGCCCCCTCACCGCCTGCCCAGAGGGCACCCACAGCAGGTGAGTGATAGAGGGTGGAGGGGCAGCACTGGCTGGGGACCCCCCTCCCTGGGCACTGCCCTCCGGCACAGGAGTGGGGAGCACAACTCCCTGCACCCCCAGCTCTCCTGGGGAAATGGAGACCTGGGCCACAGCAGCGCTGACCTCAGGCAGCGATGGAGCTCAGCATCCAGCACGGACACAGCCTCCTCACTCAGCAGTGCAGGCAGCCATAGCTCAGAGGATAGGTCCCCTCCCAGCCCCCGCTGGGGCACTGAGGTGAGGGATCTGCGCCTGGCGCAGTGCCCTGAGCTGGGAAGAGGGACACAGCTCTGCCTGCCTGCAGCTCCCATGCTCAGGCCCCTCACCGTGGTGTCTGTCACCCAACAGACCCCCAGCCCTCCAACAGGCGAGGCAGAGGGACACCCCTGCTCTGCTAGGTGCTTCAGCAAGAGGAAGCTTCCCGCCTTTGCACCGGAGGTAACCGGCAACTCCCCACCCAGTGCAAAGGGCTGGGCTGGGGGGAGCCAGGGCACCCCCACACCCCATGCCAGCCCCCCACTGACGCTTGTCTCACCAGGGGTGGGAGAGGAGAGAGGAACCTGCGCCCCCCTGCCCCATGTACCGGCTGGGGCTGGCAGGCGATGGGGGCACAGGGAAGTCCAGCTTCCTGCTGCGCCTCTGCACAAACGAGTTCCGAGGAGAAATCTCCAGCACCCTTGGTACGCCCCCCACCTCCCCAAGCACCCTCGCTGCCCTGGCTGGGGCCGAGGCACAGGAGCAGCGCCTGACTGTCCCTCCTGGCAGGGGTGGACTTCCAGATAAAGCAGCTACTGGTGGACGGGGAGCAAACCACATTACAGATCTGGGACCCCGCAGCACACCCCCGTCCCCAGGTACCGGAGCATCACCCAGTCCTACTTCCGCAAAGCCCACGGTGTGCTGCTCCTCTACGACATCAGCTCCCCGAGCAGCTTCCTCAGCGTCCGCCAGTGGATTGAGGACATCAAGGTAGTGGGAAGGGTCTGACAGGCACGCAGCCCCCATGGAGAGGGGCAGGAGCCCTGGGGCTTCCTCTGCTCTCGGGGCTGGAACCGCACTCGGCTCCCAGGCACAGCGCAGGCGTGACGGGAGGCAGCCGGTGTGCAGCAGAGCTCTGCAGCTGCCGGAGGAGGCGGG